ACCAATCTATACCGTCCGCCAAGAAACTTCCTCCTTCCGCTCCACCAGGCTTTGTTCACACACCTCCCGCAACCTCCTCCTTTCTTTCTTGGGCAAGAACCTTCCTCCACCTCCACCTAGCTCTAATACCAATTTATTGGATAATCTTGAGGAGGGGAGCTTCTTGTTCTTCCTCAAGAATCCCAATACAATCCAAGTCCAAGTCAACTCTGAAGATTTTCCAAACTTTCTCTATAGATCATATGAGAGAGAGGATGTCGGAAAATAAGAAAGACATGAAAAAAGAGGTAGATAGACTCCAAAGAAAATAATCATCAGAAAAAGAATGCTGCTTAATTTGTCACTAGAGAAAGGTGTCTTGTTGTTAAAGAATAAACAACGCGAGATATACAAATGCTATAATACAGAGAAAAGATTAGGGCAATTTTAAACAAAAGAAGGTAGAATTAATTTTCTAACAGGAAGGAGATGCCCTCAAAGGTATGGATTATAAGAGACCCTTCCAAAAGTACCATTCCTACTAACAAAAGAGGTATTTGTAGATGATCAAAGGAGGATTTGTTCGTTTCCAAAACATTTTTGTTAAAAAGGACTGTCACATCCCCTAACGACCATAGTATCAATAGTTTGAACAAGGAGCATCCAGGCTTCTACGCTTTAACAACTCCTTTCTTTTAATTTTTAAAACTGAAAAACGAAAACATTAGTTGTTGCTTTTGGTAGAAGATATGACATTCAGTTTTCTTGCCTACTGGCTCACTTGGCACAGTTAATTTAACAAATGCGAATAATATAGATCATCCAATCTCTTTATAAAGATGAATCCTGAAATCATCACATACACAAAAAGATGAACACTGTATACAGGAAAATTTGATTTCTTTTCAGATAATACACGTGAAATTCAATCAATTTCGGATGTGTAATCTTTTTCTGGAGCCATGCATAAAAGACCCACTCTCTTTTTGAAGACATGGATAAATATCTTGAGAAGCCATTCACACGAAACAAATTTTCTATTCAGATCATGACGATGAAATCAAATGTTTTTTTTAATCTATCATTTGGGAGCTTCGGCTCTATTTGACACTATATGGATTAAATTTGGCCTATATTGGAGCCATCTTTATAAAATCCAACTTTTTATAAGACCATAATGATAAAATATCATTTCTTAAGCCATATGTATGATCTGCAGCTTCTTTTTTAGGTCATATGGACCAAATACAATCTCTTATAAGGTCATTTTAATTATCTATGATTTACAGATACAAATGTATATATAAATGCAAGGAATACTTGAGTTATAATTTTTATAGTGTTTGGTATGAAGTAAAATATATATAAAATATTTTTTAAGGAATTTAGAATGCTTAAAAAGCCTCAGTTTATGATCCGAGTTATTACTTCCTATAAGTGCAAACTCTCTTAGTTAAATACCCCTCTTACTGTGTAAGAGATAACTCACGATTAAGGATGAATAGTTTTAGGTGTTTTAGTCTCGTTTGTTGAGGGATGGTGGTAGACACAATAAAGATCCCATGGTTTTGTCGTCTCGGGAATACTGTAAGTTTCAATCTACCAATACTAGCAATTGTTGATCGTAGTGTCCAGTAAATATGATTAGCAACTATGGGTTGCCTCCTCTTAGGTATCCCGAATAAACTGAAGTAGTTAGATATATGTTGAAATTTATTGCGTCTTGGGGTTTACATTTGATAGAATACCCAGTAATTGATTTAGTTTGAGACTTACGACTTCATTTAGAAGTTGTCCAGTTGTTTGAATTATTTGGGGAATTATTTTAGGGCTTACGACTTCCTTTAGAAGTTGCCCCTTAGTTTAGTTTAGGACCAGGCTTACGGCTTCATTTAGAAGTTGCCCGGATGTTTGGTTTATGTCGGGGCTTACAACTTCCCTTATAAGTTTCCCGTATGATTGGTTTGGAATGGGTCTTACGGTTTACCTTGAAAGTTTATTGTAGGATTTATTTGGAATGGGTCATTATGACTTTTCTTGGAAGTTGCTCGGTGTTTATTTAAAAAAAGGTGGGTCGTACTGGGTCATACTGCTTCACTCAGAAGTAGCCCATTAATTTTGTTGGTGGTCTAATACTTCTTATAGGAGTTCCCCAAAGAATATGCCTTACGACTTCCATTGAAAATTGTCTAGTTGTTTGGGTTTTAAGGTTGTTGTACTTACTTAAAAGTTTTCCTAACGTGTGAGTATTATAACTTCACTTAGAAGTAGCTTGACTTTAAGAAGTGGGTCATATTGTGCTTCACTTAGAAATAGCCCGATTTGTTTAAGAATTGGGTCTTATTGCTGTTAGAAGTAGCCCGTTTTGTTTTAGAAATGGGTCTTATTGCTTCTATTAAGACCCAAACTGTACTGATTTGTGTTTATTTGTTTGCAGGAGTTTGTGCTGCTTTGGAGCTTACATAGGAGAAGCTTTTGGAGCATTGGAGAGTTTTGAAGCTTTATTTGGAGAGTGGTTTTAGTTTTTTAGGAGTTTTGTATTTAGTTGGTGTGAGTTGTATTAGGTGGATTAATGTAAACATTTCTCCTTTTATTGTATTTTTTTATTTATATTATTATTCAATCAATTAGTTAACAAAATGAATTTTAAAGTGGTCAATTAATGAATTAAATAATTAAATGAAGTTACCAATTTTATGATTAATTAAATAATAAGATTTTAAATTTATTTTGAATTGAATGATTAAGTGTATTATTAAATTGCTCAATTAATTAAATTTTAAAGTTGTTTTAAAATTGATTAATAAATTTAATTTTTAATTTCATTTGTATTAATTAAATTGGAGATTTTAAATTAATTAATTAAATAAATGGATTTTATGAATGATTAGTTAATTAATTAGTTGATGAATTTTAAATTTATTTTAATGTTGATTTATTAATTATTTAATTGATTAAATGAGATTTTAAATTAACGAATTAAGTACTAGATTATTAGAGTTCTCAAATTACTCTCCAAATCTCCTGGAAATTCGACACCTTCCCGGCGTCATTTCGGCAGCCTCCCAACATCCCCTCTGCGGAAGGGAAGGTCGAGACAGCATTTGTCGTGGTTTCTACTCTCCTGAATCAAAGATCAATGGTGCGATGTCTTCGAATTTAAAATCCATCGCACCCGAATCAAAGATCAACAGCGTAAGACCTTCAAATTAAAAATTCTACCGCCCAAATCAAAGATCACAGTGCGGGTCTTCGAATTAAAAATTCATCACATCCAGATTTAAGATCAATGGCGCGGGTCTTGAGATAGAAATTCCATGTCACTTATATTTGAAAAAAAAATTGTATTTAATAATACTAATATATTATTATTAACTTTTTAATATCGACCGACTTCAAGGTTACATGATATGTCAAGGTTATGAATCTGTAACGAGATAGATAGTAATAGTTTTTAACCTTGTATAACACAGAACTATAAGGTGTTGAATCGAGAACGAGCCCTTGGCATATACCACGTGTGGGTATCACGGAGAGAATAGTTGATCGCACGGAGGGTTTAGACGATATGATCGCACGGAGCATGTAGCGAATAGGGCCTTTGCGCTCGAGGCGGGGCTGTTTCATGCGGGTTAAGGTCGGACAGGCACGTACTGCACCTATGGGATGGCTGTCATGCAGGCGAACTTGCGTGGGCACGGGTCTGGGTCACGCAAGCTGGTGCCGCAAGATCAAGCTTAGGTCGGAGAGAGCTGCGTGAATGAGAGTCTGCATGCAAGACGAATAGGCGGGCGGGAGAACCGCTCGGCTTCGACTCTACGTGCGACTGAGGAAGACGAGAGCGGGATTGGAGAGCAGAACAGTTTCTTCTGCGTGCGTGAGGGTTTGAATGAGAAGGAGAGAGCGAGTTGAGGATGTTTTGTGCCGTGAGGGAAGTTACAAAAACGAACCATTACGTCTTTAGGAATAAACCTCGCGAGGTGGGTTCGGCTCGGAAGCAGGTGCATTGCTTCATAAAGTTGTTCGAATTTTCTATTTTTTTCAGTCAACAATTGGATGGTAAAACAATCGTTGATAGCTAAGTTTGGGCTTGACACGAAAAATAATATTAAAATCAAAATATTATTAAACCTATAAAAGATTAAATAAGGGATGATTATACTAAAGAGATGGTTGAAATATCATCTATTGAAAATAAAGGCTTACTGGCATGAACATGTACAACAAAAGAGGAGAAAATGAATCCATTAAATATGTAGAAAAAAATGATGTCTCAATATTAGAAATTAAAAGAGACGGTAAACTAAAAGTAACATGGATAGAAGTTGTTCAAAATGATTTGCAAATAATAAATTTAACATCTTATGTAACATTTAATTAGTTGGAATGAATTTAATGATGATGATGAATATAATTCTGACTTCCCTTGATAACCTAGTAGATATTAGCTTATTTTTATTATTTTCAGCCTAATCTTACAAAAGGTCATGCACTTATAAGCCAAATAGCCGTGTGATCTACACCCCAACAAAGAAAACATCTAGAATGATGTACAAGATAAAAAAAATTTACATAACCATGGAGAAGCATTTATAAATAGTTCATTTTCTTCTTTCCAATGACTTTTACACAAGCTAAAGTAAATTCTTAACTACCAACCTTGGTAGTCCATGGTTAACTTACCATATAAGAGCATCTTCATCTTCCGTCTTAAGTCTTTGCTTAGATAAAATCCACTAAAGTCGTATTAAATCAACGGAGAAGTAATGCCAATAATGTCCGTACAAATCATAACACCAATAAGTTGTTGACATAAATGTGAGATAAATATATTATAATATTTAGCCCAAAATACAAATTTCAGTGAACTTCAATGAAAGCAACATGCTGATTATAAGAAGCACGACAATAATAAGCTGTTGTAAGTGTAAAAAAGTGTTCTACATGTAACCCAAACGCATATATGCATAAAAAAAAGTAAAAGAAAACTTAAAAACTACAAGGATATGTTAGTTTGAAACCTCATAAGTCAGTGTGCCGCCAGAAGAATCAGGTTGACGAAGAGTAACATTTGAAACCACGCCATTAGCTGACAAAATACAAACAGCCAGTGGCCCTTGTTGTGAAAAAGAAATTATCTTCATGGTAACATCCTAGAAATGAAAACATACATGTCAGAAAATAAATATAAAAACATAACTTCGAAACATTAAAAGTTCCGTCGTTTTATAACAATTGTTATAGCATAACAATTGTTAAAGCGGCAAATGCTACTTCAGTATAGAAGTGCAACTATAAAAACTGTGCAAGCCATTCAAGTTGTAACCAAGCAAAATTTACATAAACATATATACACCATCATCCCTCGATATCAAATTACTTTCCTTGGCACTATGCCACTATATAAATGATAAATGGGAGAAAATATGCATGAGCATTTATATTTTGGTGTCCAAATATACAAGTGTTCCTGCATGATTTGCAAGCGAACCTGATTAACCCTCTAACTATGCATAATAATAGTACTGCATTCACACTTGTATGAATGAATTAGGTTAAACTCATAAGCCTACTCTTGCCCACCTGAGCTTGTCCAAGCATGTCGCAAAGGAAGCAACCAACGTAAGACTTAGTTTGGGATACCTTTCTTATTGTTTTCTAAATCAGCTTTTTAGTAAAAAAATAATTGTGAAGAGGAGGAGACCGACAGCAAGTTGGAGGAACAAGACGCGGCATGAGAGCACCTACACCTTGATGTGGCGGAAGTGTCCCTTAACTCAGTGGTGAGATTTACTTCAAATCACACCATAAATGTGAGGGGACAGATCAGGGAGTGTCTATTGGTAGCCTTGGTGGATAGCGCGGAAACTCACAACTTCATCTCAAATCGAATTGTGGACCAGTTGGGATTAAAGTTGGTGAATACAAGGAACTTTGGAGTCATGATGGGGACAAGGAAGAAAGAGAATAAGGGGAATTGCAGGAGGTTGGTACTGACACTCCAGTGCATACATATAGTGGAGAATTTTCTTCCCTTAGATTTGAAGAGTACTGATGTGATTCTAAGGATGAAGTGGTTACAGACGATCAGAGAGACGAAGATGGACTAGAAATATTTGACTATGAAGATTCAAATGGAGGGGAAGAGGGTAGCTTGTTACAAGAAGATGTCAGCCTGTGCAAAATCATAGTTTCACTCAAAACCATGGTCAAGGAGATACAGGGAGCAGGGTTGGGCTATTTGGTGGAGCTGTAGAGCTTGAAGGAGGTTCGAGATTCAGAGCCAGTAAAGGTCCCTGAGCTTGTACATTAGCTTTTGCAATAGTTTCCTAAGATTTTTCAGCAACCTAGCGGATTACCGCCACCCAAGGACCACGAGCACACCATTCCCTTAAAGGAGAGAACTTCTCCTATCAAGGTCAGACTGTACCAATACATGTAGATACAGAAGGATGAGATTGAGAGACTCATCAAAAAAATGCTTGAGGCAGGGATTATTAGACCCAATGTGAGCCCCTTTTCTAGCCCAATTTTACTGATGAGAAAGAAGGACAACAGTTGAAGATTTTGCGTGGATTATATGGTCATAAATAAAGAAATTGTGCTAGACAAGTTTCCAATCCCCGTGATCAATGAGTTGCTAAATGAGATGTTTGGGGCGATCATTTTCTCGAAGATTGACTTGAAGTCAGGGTACCAACAAATCAGAATGAAGTTGTGGGATGCGCACAAGATAGTTTTCAGGACCTTGAGGGTCCTACGAGTTTTTGATGATGCCTTTCGGCCTTACTAACGCTCCAGCCACTTTTCAGTCCCTCATGAACCGAGTATTTCAACCCAAACTCAAAAAATGTGTCCTGGTAATTATTGATGACATCCTAATTTATAGTCGTACGGAGACAAAAGCATGTTGGTCACTTGAGGACGGTACTGGAGACTTTGAGTAGCATTAGCTGTATGCCAACCTAAAGAAATGTTCCTTTGCACAACCAAAAGTGGAGTACCTAGAACATTTGGTGAGTAGAATAAGGGTAGCAGCAGACAAGTCCAAGATTGAGGCCATGCTGGATTGGCCTTTACCTAAGAATTAAGAGGGATCGTGGGTTTCACCGGGTACTACCGGAAGTTTGTGCGAGGGTATGACACGATTGCATGGTGACTAATAAAACAACTGAAGAAGGACAAGTTCAATTGGGGAGAAGCAGCACACATGCCTTCGAGCAACTGAAGAAAGCTATGACCAATGTGTCAGTATTAGCACTTCCTGACTTCAACAAATCATTTGTGGTGGAGATGGATGCATGAGGATACGAACTAGGAGCAATACTCATGTAAGATCATCAACCCATTGCTTATTTAAGTCAGGTGCTCACGGCCAGAGCGAGCCTTAAGTTTCTATATGAGTGAGAGTTGATGGTGTTTGCCCAAACCATCCAAAAATGGATACGAACTAAATAAAGCATGAGGACACAATGGTGATTGCCTAAACCATTGCCTATTTAAGTCAGGTGCTCACGGCCAGAGCAAGCCTTAAGTTTCTATACGAGTGAGAGTTGAGGATACAAACTGAGGAAAGCCATGACCAATGTGTCAGTATTAGCACTTCCTGACTTCAGCAAATCATTTGTGGTGGAGATGGATGCATGAGGAGACAAACTAGGAGCAATACTCATGCAAGATCATCAACACATTGCTTATTTAAGTCAGGTGCACACGGCCAGAGCGATCCTTAAGTTTCTATACAAGTGAGAGTTGATGGTGATTGCCTAAACCATCCAAAAGTGTAGACTCTATTTTATGGGGAGACACTTTATCGTCAGGATATATTAGAAGAGTTTGAAGTTTCTACTGGAGCAGATGATGGTGACTAAGGAGCATCATAGGTGGTTATCAAAGTTACTTGGACATGATTTTGATATTCAATATCACCCAAGACTAGAGAACAAGGCAGCGAATGCACTATCAAGGAAGTCGAATGGGTCACAATTAACAGCTATATCCATACCTATGGTCCTAGACTGGGAAGCCCTAAGACATGAGAGAGAACAAAATGAGGGCCTAAAGAATATCAAAACTAAGTTGTTGCAAGACCCAGACAGTCATCATGGTTACATGCTGAGGGTGCCCAAGCTGCAACATCAGGGGTGGGTCTTACCAAGGATAGGGCAAATTCCTAAATTGTTGTAGGTGGCAACGCAGTTAGAGGACACGCATGAGTTTAGAAACCTATAATCGGATGTCCGTAGAGTTATATTGGGTAGAGATGCGCCGAGATGTAGAGGACTGGGTGGCGAGATGTGATGTGTGCTAGCGGCACAAGTACTTGGCCATGACGCCATAAGATTACTATAACCTCTAACTCTACAGGAAATGGTGTGGGAGGAGGTGGCGATGGACTTCTTTGAGGGGCTATTGTGTTTGAAGGGATTTTTTGTGATACTGGTAAAGGATCATCTGAGCAAGTACGCACAGTTCATCCCTCTAAAGCACCCTTACACCGTTGTCTCTGTGGCTCCAGCTTTAATATGGGAGGTGGTGCGCTTACATGGATTTCTAGAATCCATTGTGCCAGATAGAGACAAGGTGTTCCTCAATCATTTCTAGGAGTTGTTCCATTTACAGGAGACAGTCCTGAAGAGGAGCACAACATACCATCCCCGTACAGATAGCAATACGAAGGTAGTCAAAAGAAGAATGAAGACCTATTTGCGATGATTTATATCAGATACGTCGAAGAGTTTGGTAAAGTAGATTGCTTGGGCCGAGTATTGCTACAACACTTCGTACTATTCAGCAGCACAGACCACCCCTTTCATGATTCTCTGTGGAAGAAATCAACTTCATTTAATATATTATGGGCATAACACTACACCAATATCTAGTATAGATCAATACTTAAAGAAGAGGAACAGGATATAAGCAAAGCTCATGGGACATCAATTGAGGGCTCAGCAGATCATGAAGAGAAAAGCTGATGAGCATAAGAGAGAAGTATACTTTGAGCCAAGAGACATAATTTACTTGAAGCTGAGACCCTATTAGCAGAAGATGCTAGCCAGGAGGAGGAATGCGAAATTGTCCCCACGATACTTTGGGCCTTATGAGGTTTTAGAACACATTGGAAAAGTGGCCTATCGACTCGGATTACTATCATCGTCAGCATTACACAGGTGGGCGATAGAAGAGAACACACTGTCTTCACTACCCCTGAGTTTGACGGAAGACATGGAGGTCATTTTGAAAACCCTGGGAGTAGAGAGGGTGTGCCAAGGGAAAACAAGAGCATAGGAGGTACTAATCAAGTGGAAGAACTTGCCAGAGGACAAAGCCATTAGAAATGACATTAATCGAAGAAAATTGTGAAAAAGATGGAAAAGTGCAATTATTTAAAAAAAAGAAAAGAAATGAATTGCAATCGTAAGGTAGATCCACAAGAAGTTAAAAATGGTGAATCTGATCTTAAAATATTGACCCTTAGAATTTACATTTTACCCTATCATATGTCAAGTTACTTATGTTATCATAGGTTGTCTCTAGCAGTGCAAGTCTTTACTTAATATTGATCAAGTTGCAAGCCCAAAGAATATTCAAGAGGCTATATAGACCCAAGCAAAGAGATAATTTAATAAATAATTGATATCATTAAACATGGGATGTTGAATTACTAGAAGGGGAGAAACTAGTTGACTGTAAAAAAGGATTTAGTACTAAATATAAGCCTGATAGCACAATATAAAGGTAAAAGGCCTGTTTAATTGCAGGGATTCACGCAAACTCTTGGAGTATACTAACAAAGACATTCTTCAAGAGTCTTACTATCATCAGCAGTCGATCTCGATTATGGGCTATACCAATTTGATGTCAAAAATATTTTCTTAATGGCAGACTTGATGAAGAGGATTGCCCTTCCTATCGTGTAGAAGAGAACTCTCGATTAATGATGAATTAATTTTTTAGATGCACAAGTGTTTTAATCTTGGTTATGGAGGATGGAGGTAGACCTGATCAATATCCCATGGTCTCGTCATCCCAGGAATGCTATAGTCTACCAATACTAACAATCATTTATTGTAGTATCCAATGAATCGGATTAACAATCATGGGTTGCCTACTCTCAGAGAAACCGAGTAAATTGAAGTGGGCAGTGATAGGT